GAGCCATCAGCCCAGAGCCCGACGCGGGGCTCAAACTCACGGACCGCGAGATCGTGACCTGGCTGAAGCCGGACGCTTAACCGACTGCACCACCCGGGCGCCCCTGAAAGTCCATGTTCTTAATCACCACATTACACTGGTGGTGTGTTTGCTGTAGACAAGCTGAAAAGGCTGGATTCGGGGTGGGCATTGCCTTGAACGGTAGGTGCACGTGACCTTTCAGCAGAAAAAATAAAATAAAATTACAACAAAATAACTGTCTTTATACGAACAAAGTGAGAGCAGAGAACAATATCTCCTCAAGAACAAAGTCCAGGCAGGACAGAAGCAGCAGCTTCCCTGACCCTTGGAATCCTCCACATCTTTTTTTTTCCCCCTTTTTTATTTATTTATTTACTTTTTAATTTACATCCAAGCTAGTCAGCATATAGTGCAATAATGATTTCAGGAGTAGATTCCAGTGATTCATCCCCTCTGTATGACACCCAGTGCTCATCCCAACAAGTGCCCCTTCCCCCATTTAGCCCATCCCCCCACCCACAACCCTTCCAGCAACCCTGTTTGTTCTCTGTATTTATGAGTCTATTTTGTTCCCCTCTGTTTTTATGTTATTTTTGCTTTCCTTCCCTTATGTTCATCTGCTTTGTATCTTAATTCCTCATAGGAATGAAGTCATATGATATTTGTCTTTCTCTGACTAATTTCGCTTAGCATAATACCTTCCAGTTCCATCCACATAGTTGCAAATGGCAAGATTTCATTCTTTTTGATTGCCGAGTAATATTTCATTGTGCGTGTGTATGTATATGTATATGTATATGTATATGTATATGTATATGTATATGTATTATAGGTGGGTATATATACCTATATACTATAGGATGGTGTACCCAGTGTCACTATATATATATATATATGTGTGTGTGTGTGTGTGTGTGTGTGTATATATACCCACCTATATACATATACATATATATCCACCTATATACATATACATATACATACCACATCTTCTTTATCCATTTATCCATCGATGGACATTTGGGCTCTTTCCATAATTTGGCTATTGTCAACAGTGCTGCTATAAACATTGGGGTGCACGTGCCCCTTTGAAACAGCACACCTGTATCCCTTGGATAAATACCTAGTGGTGCAACTGCTGGGTCGTAGGGTAGTTCTATTTTTAGTTTTTTGAGGAAACTCCATACTGTTTTCCAGAGCTGCTGACCAGTCTGCATTCCCACCAACCATCTCTGCATCCGTTGCACCTGTGTGATCGAAGCAGAAAGGATCCTTTAGCTGTGGGGAGGAAGGTGGACGGGAAGGAGGAATGGGGAGGCCAGAGCCCAGAGCAAAGTGTGAATGGGTGAAGGCATGAACCAAGTGGGAGGTCCAGGGAAACAGGAAAAGTGAAGGTGGACGTGAGAACAATGGAGAAGAAAGGATAAAACAGAATTGAGGAATGAGTTAAGAAAAGTACTTGTTGCTGGATGTGGCAACTTCAACCTATGGTGGACCTGTTTTCCGGCCCACAAAACAGCCTCACAGGTCCTCCTAAGAATGTCTGATGCTGCCCCTGCCCCAGAGAATCCAGGGCAGTCTGTCACTGCATTTGTGCCTGTCACGTTCTGCATGTCTCTGGGAAGGGATCCACCAGTGCAGGGAGAGGTCTGTCCAGCAACTTACTACAAGGAGAAAGACAGGACGTGAGGAGACACTGGGCCTCAAGAGCCTGCAGACTTTCCATGTAGAAACCCACATGCAGTTCCCCCGGCATCCACGAGGGGCATCTCCTCTTACAAGGAGCTTTCATATATATTACTTTTCCTGATTCTGCCAGAGCTATGGGGTCTGGGACACAGAATAAGCGCTTGTTAAAGGTCTGTTCTCTGCAGGTAGTGCACTGGGGGCTCCCCTAAAGCTGTCCCAGACAGTCTCACTCTCCAGGCGTCATGGTTTTTCTTCCCTACCCGCCCCCCAACCAACTGCTGACGTCACAGAGGAAGAATGCAGCTGCGGTGTGATTCACGGACTTCTCATGGTCACGTGACTAATAGGAAATAGGTTCACAACTGGACACTGTCCTCTCCTATTTACTAGGACAGGATGGTGTACCTAGTGTCACCATTTCCCAGCTGAGGAAGTCAAGGCCCTGAAACACCATGCAGGTAAATGGCAGAGCAAGGCTAGAATCCCAGGCTCAGAAGCTCTAGGTCAATGTTAGCTTTGCCTTTTATTGTTTTGACTACACTTGGTTTTCTTCCCTCATTAGATGGCAAGTTCCTCATGGAAAAGAGGAGACCTTTTGATCCCAACATCCCCACAGTACCCAACACCAAGGCTGGCTCCCAAAGACCTTAAGCATGGATTGCTCGGTTGTTGGATGAACTGACTACTAGGTAGGTCATCTCTTTGGTGCCAACATTTCACTTCTTCAATCCACCCTTCTTGCTGCCTCTAGAGGTACAGTGCCAAGGCATCTGCCTCCTTCAACAACCGAAACCCTTTCCCTCCTTCAGGCACAGCTAGCTGAAAGGCCATCTTCCCCAAGGAGGCTTCACGTCCTCACCATTTTAATCCCCCTCTTTGCCTCCTGCATGCTGCTCTTCTCTGCACTTGTGGGCATCTGCTCTGTTATGTCACCTGTTCCTTTGGGAGCTGTCAAGGCCGTCTTTGTATCCTTAATAAATGTTGACGAGCAAACACGTAAAGGAATGCATGGACATATGGATGGATGGATGGATGGATGGATGGATGGATGGATGACCGGACACATGGATGGATGGGTGGATGGACTCGTCAATAAACAAATGTACACAGAGATAAGAGGAGGGAAACACGAAGTACTGGGACACAGGGGTTAAGAGGTTGTATAGTGGAAAAAAACAGTGGATTCCATGGCAGAGGCTCCAAATTCTATAGAGCTTTATCCCTCACTTGCTGTGTGACCTAGGAAAAGTTACTACTCTCCTGGGCTCTTTGTACTTGTGTTTAAAAAGAAGGGTTGCAAAGGACTAGAACTGTTGCAACTCCCCATTCTCGGGTTCTGTGAATGGAAAGTTCGCTTGAACAAACCCATTAACGGATGTTTTGCCCCTCCACCCTTGAAAGCAGCCAATCTCTTCAACCAGCGGCTTATCTGAGGCCACCCTTCTCTGCCTCATCCCCACCGGGTGCTGCTATCTTGTACGGGGCCTCCCGGGATGTTTGTCAACCAAAGCAATCGCCTTATCTGGTGGCTCTCTCGGGCACCATCCTGCCCTTGGAAAACATGAATGGATTTGCAGAATACCTGGCCTCCGATAGTCCTCCCGTCCCAGGAAGGGCTAGCAAGGCAGCCTTGGCTTTCTCAGAAAGATTGTGCGATTTCATGCTGCTATCGGGACCGACACGGAGGCAGCTCCTAGCCCTGGACCCTCTAGCTAAGTTCAACTTCAGGTCAAGTCAGGGGCCCCCAGCAGCTCAGAGGCACAGGATCCACAAGGAAGGAATTTCAGAACGTTGCCAGAAGCTAACAACAGTCCCCAGCTGTTCCTGGCCGCCTCCTGCCCGTGAAGTACTTGGAGAGGGGTCTTTACACAGACACAGCAGAAGGAGGGGTCGAGTGAACGGCTGTGCCTCTGGGCCAGGGTGGAGGGCAGGCCAAGGGGAATAGAGGTCTCTTTGTTATTGGCAGCTCCTGCACAGGGCCCCAAGACCCTCCTCTTGGCGGAGACCTCCCCACCACCCAGGCCCCCTGGGGGACCCTGACATCAGTTGTATTGACGCGCTGGGCTCCTGTAATGACTTGCAAACCTCTGCTCCCCACTCACTTGCCTGTGGCCAGGAGCTTCCCTCCTGTAATTCCTTTCAGAGCACATGCTGTGAAACTCTTAATAAATGGCTGTTCCAGGACTGATCTCCCTGGAGTGAAATCGAAAACACCTACCTTAAAATTCGCTTGGGACGTCCCCCACCCCCGTCCCTGCTCTTTGCCCGCCCACTCATCCTCAGGTCTCATCGGGGACCAGATGCCCCCACTCAGAGGCGCCTTCCTTGCCCAGCCCCCGCAGACCAACCCATGCCCCTTCTCCCAACACTCACCCATTTTCCCCAGGTACTTTCCTTCTCCGAACTCTCCTGCACTTGCGCGTGTGTATGTCCCCGCGATGACGGTGTCCCCCAGCAGCACTCCAATCTCACAGTGATGGAGGCCGCTCTTCGTTGTTTCCATCACCACCGGCCTGGTACACGGTAAGCGATCGACAAAGAGTTGCTGAGGGGCGCCTGGGAGGCTCAGCTGGTGAAGCATCTGACTTCAGCTCAGGTCATGATCTCATGGTTCATGAGTTCGAGCCCCACATCAGGCTCCATGCTGTCAGTGCAGAGCCTACTTCTTATCCTCTCTCCCCCCTCCCTGCCCCTCCCCAGCTCACACACACTCTCTCTCTCAAAAATAAACAAACATTTAAAAAAACAAAACCTAAACATTAAAAAAATATAGTTATTGAAAAAAAGTGAATAGATGGGGCACCTGGGTGGCGCAGTCGGTTAAGCGTCCGACTTCAACCAGGTCACGATCTCACAGTCCGTGAGTTCGAGCCCCACGTCGGGCTCTGGGCTGATGGCTCAGAGCCTGGAGCCTGTTTCCGATTCTGTGTCTCCCTCTCTCTCTGCCCCTCGCCCGTTCATGCTCTGTCTCTCTCTGTCCCAAAAATAAATAAACGTTGAAAAAAAAAATTAAAAAAAAAAAAGTGAATAGAATCATGAATGAATTCATTAACTACCAAATATAGGAGAGTACTATTGTCAGAATCCTAAAAGAGCAAACTCTGTACTTATTAAGAGGTATGCCACCCTTAGCACGTGGTCTCCTAACTGAAAGACGCAGATGAAGAAGACAGTCCTGTGCCCTCAGGAGCTCACGGGCTGCCGGAGAACCAGACATGGTATTTGCAGATGGCAAATAGGCCTTCTCATTGAAGCCTGGTGTGTTGGATAAGCGTTCTGACCCGCACTTGACAGGAGGGCCTCTGAGGCCCAGAGGCATTAAGATATTTGCTCAAACCACAGAGCTGGTGAGGGTGAGAGCTGGAATCCAGGACTCCTGACGGTTTTCTACTCTCTGTCCTCCTGTCCTTCTCGACCTGGCCTGGTTTTTTCAGTCTTGCACCAGAAAACGGATTGGCCCAGAGCTCTGGCAACCACACATTTGCCAGGATGGACTCAGAAGGACCAGGAGACGGTCTTGCTTCTGGACCCCGTTACGCTGCTCCCTATTCCCATCTGGGTACTGGACCAAGTCGAGGAGGAAGCCTCCACCCTCGCCCCGCAGAGCCGGCTTTCACACCCTCTGGGCTCAGGGCACTTTAGAAGGCTAGCACTGAAGGGGCTTCTTTTGAAGGACAGCAACCACGGAGAACACATGCCAGTAGCAAATGACCACTCGGTCTGACGAGCAGGGTTTTCAGGGTTATGTGGACGCATAACGTGCTTGTGACTCAGAAGCTGCTCCCTCCTGAGCAGAGTCGGGGGCACCCTGCGAGCAAAGCTCCTTCGCTGGAAAGCACGAGATTTTGGACTCACACAAAACTGCCTCTGACACCAACTGTATTATTTGGGACGCACTGCCCAAAGACTTTGAACTTTGCCTTCCTAATCTGAAAAACAGATGCTTTGGGTTGAAGGGAAGACAAATCAGACGAATCACACAGTGCCTTTGGCTCATGAACAGTGTGGGTTCTGTGATGGCTGTCACCATCACCCCTCTGGTCTTTGTTTTCCCCCCAGTTCCTAGTTCGAGCCTCATTTGGTCTATATCATTCTGTTATTTTCTGACTGTCCCTCCTATGATCAAGGTCCTTCAGATTCTGACCATCTCTTCTGGGGTATAACTCCCACCTCCCAATGGTCAGCGTGCAGGAGAACCCAAAAGAACTATTCCGTGCTCCTGAGAGCGCCAAGAACAGCTGCACAGAAGAGGGAATTCTGAACTAACTACTGACAATAGAGGGGAGGCTGTCTGGCACAAGGATGTGCAAGGGAGTGGTTGTGGAGCATCCCAGCCAGCACCGTGGAGCTGAAGCTCGGAGGTGGGCCAGGCCAGCAGAGGAAGACAGGGGACTAAGGAAGGTTCACGGAAGGGGGAGGTTCACGGGGGGAGGGGGGGTGCGTTGTGAATGCTCTGGGTGTAACCAGGAAGCCTTTGAATGCCACGCCATGGCTCTGGAAGGGTTTTACACATGGGAATGAAATGATGATGACTGTGTTTTAGCTGCAGCCCAAGCTGGGGACAGGAGAGAACAGAAACTAGAGATTAAGAGACCACTTGGATTTTCCGGGTGACCCAGGCAAGATGTGATTAGGGCAAAGTACAAGGAGGACGGAGGTGAGGCACTGGATCAAGGGACACATCTAAAACACAACACACAGAGATCTGCCTGTTGATTTACGTTGTGGGCAATGGGAAAAGAGCACGGAAGTGCCTCTGAGGGGTCCAGCTTGGGAGGCCAGGTTTCCAGGGTCACCATTAACAGATTTTGGATGCGAGAGACACACTGACAACAGGAAAAGAAAATGAGTTTACTTTGTGACATGCAGTGTTGACCAAAAGGTGTGCGATCGGGGCGCCTGGGTAGCGCAGTCGGTTAAAGCGTCCGACTTCAGCCAGGTCACGATCTCGCGGTCCGTGAGTTCGAGCCCCGTGTCAGGCTCTGGGCTGATGGCTCAGAGCCTGGAGCCTGTTTCCGATTCTGTGTCTCCCTCTCTCTCTGCCCCTCCCCCGTTCATGCTCTGTCTCTCTCTGTCCCAAAAATAAATAAACGTTGAAAAAAAAAAAAATTAAAAAAAAAAAAAAAAAGTGTGCGATCAAATGGGTCTGGAGTGGAGACAGATAGAACCCAGGAGATAGAATGAAGGTGCCTAGCAGAATCTACAGGAGTGGAGAAGATCGCCACTAGGATAGAATTCCTATTTAAAAAAAAAAAAAAAAAAAAGCTGAAACACCAGCATTTCAGAGGCATCTAGAGGAGAAGTCTCCTGAGGGGTGCAGGAAGGAGTGGGCAGAAAGGTAGGAGAACCGGGACAGGCAGTGAGGGCCTGGGGAGGGAACAGACCAGAGAAAGCAGCCACGCGGTGGTCACACAAATTTATATGAACACTAAAATTCACGAAACTGCACACCAAAATGAGTCAATCTTGTCATACCCTAAATTTAAAAATAAAATCAACGAAATGCAAAAAGAAAAAGTCCTCCAGAGGAAACCACTGTTAACATTTTGGCATATGTCCTTTCTAGTCTTTTTTTTTTTTTTTTTAGGCAGTTTTTTGAAATAGAATCTTATGTGCAATTAACAAGCACAAATGCGATCTTTCCTAATTTATGTTAGATTGTTTTAAAATTCCATGCGTTAAATAAATAAAGCAGTGCCAACACAGGAAGAAGGGAAGAAGGGAGGGAAGGAAGGAGGGAGGGGCTGTAGATATGGTTGAACCCAGCAGAAAGATAGTATAAGCCTGAGAAGGGTTATATGGTTTCTTTCAAATCCATTTTAAATCCTACCTAAAGCTTAGAAGTATACATCCTTTTATAAAGTTCTCTCCCCATTTTTCAAAGAATAGGAAAAAAACAAAACAAAACAAAACACTAGCTTGCTTAATTTTTTTCTGGAAAGGGAGGCGGTGGCCATTCAACGTACCGGCCAAAGCTCTTCCTGCACGTGGTAACATCGCCACCTGCTGGCCATGATGATATCACCATAGAGCACAAGCTTTTAAAGGAGCCTAGACCCTTGCACCAGCCTAACCCAGGAGCGCCTTCCCCTCCTCCCCCACCTCCCCTCCTCCCACCACCCCATGGCCACAAAGAATTAAGAATCAAACACAATACCAGGGGATATAGGGGTCCGAATGCAAGTGGGACAGGATGTGATTTAAGCCTTTTTGTGGCAAAAAGGCAAGTTGGTATGTAAGGAGCACTGGTATGCAAAGCAGACTCCCAGGTCTCAGGCCAGCCCTTCTGCCAGCAAGGTCCACCAAACAAGATCACGGGCTTTGCCACCAGCAGATGAGCATTTGGGGTTGACATTACAACAATGCCCTTAATAGTAATTAAGTTGATTTGTTGCCTCCAACTGCCTGTGATCTCTCCACTTCTTAGTAAGCTCTGGACTTAGAATCATTAAAAGGGCATGATTAATTAGCATCTTCAAACTTTGTATCTTCCCAGAGAGTAAATGATTTAAAGAAAAAAAAAAAAAAAAGACCCTGGCCAGGCAAAGCCTATCATGGAAGCAAAGGTTCCTCCCAGATCCCACTGGGAAAAGTTATTTGGAACAAGAGATTTTCCCTTACCACATTCTATGACCCCCACATATGAGACTACCCACCTGCTTACACCCAAGATCAAGCCCTGCAGCACTGTCACATTTGAGCCTTTGATTATGGAAGACGGGATGTGTTTTATTCTCTCTCTTCTTGTAGCTCACCTGCTGAGAGCCCCAGAGTACATGAGGCTGAGAGTTCTCAGAGAGTGAGCTGAGGGCCCTAAGCTCCCCAGGCTGGCTTCATATTAGCACTGAGACTAATAAGATTCTTGGGTCAGGACTACAGCCAAGTAAACAGATGTGGCCTTAACAGCTGCCTCCAGCAAGGGAGGAGGGCAGGACAGAAGTGGCATCGCCCAGCAAACAGCTGACAAAGGCAAGAAGGAGAGACAGAGGAGATCGGGGGACCCTCCCCACCCACCATTTGAAGGGCCAGGTCTCAAGCCTGTAGTGCACATCCATGAGTCATGACCATGACCTCAGCCTCAGGGGAGCTCTGTACCACATAATCTGTCAAGCACAATGCTCAAATGATTGAAATTTCTGGTGTAAAAGAAAAGGTGTGATTTCCTCCTTACTAGTGAGGTAAGCAAAAACGCCAGTTAGTTAATTCTTGGGACTGATCCCCAGTCCCTCTATGTCCAATTCTTCTCATCTCTGCTCTCACTTGATGATTCTACTCACAGAACCTACCAGATCACCAGTGTTTGGTGTTTTATGCTTTCATTAATACAATGTGTTTAATTTAGTGCCTACTTGGCCAGGCACCACATGGACGCACCTGGCGAAAACAACAACCGGGCTCGGGCTCATGGGAGCTCACAGCCATGGGAGGCAGCTTCGTGCGGAGGGGCGCAGGCTCTGGCACCAGACAGCGGGGTTCCCATCTGCCACTTCCTGAGTGACTTGGGGCAGACTGCTTAACCTCTCTGTGTCTTTGTTTTCCTCACCTGAAAAATGCAGGTAATACCGTATTGACTTCATAAAGCTGGTGAGCTTAAAGCTGTGCCACATTTATGGTAAACATTTAATAAATGTGAGCAATTATTACCATGTGGCTAAGGGTCTTCATTCTAGCATGGTAACTCTACCGAACAGAATGGATTACAGGTTCTAAAAGGGGAGGAGATTACCCTGAGAGCATACAGACTTACAACCTTCCTTGCATATTGTGGCAGGCAGAATAATGGTCCCAAAGACATCCATGTCCTCAACCCTGGCATCTGGGACTTCATATTGGCAAAAGATACTTCGAAGATGTGACTAAGGTAGGGATTCTGATTATCAGGTAGGCCCAGTGCAATCATCCAGTCCTTATAAAAGGTAGACAAGAGTCAGAGTCACAGACAGGGTGAAACAATGACGGAAGGAGGGAGGAAGGTATTGTGGTGTGCCCCTCGGCCCTGAGCCAAAGAATGTGGACAGCTCCAGAAGCTGGAAAAGGCAAGGAAGCCTCCAGAAGCAAATGGAAGCCTGGCAACACCTTGATTTTAGCCAACTGAGACTCATTTTGAACTTCTGGCCTTCAGAACTAACTGTAAGAGAAAAAAAACTTATGCTGTTATTAACTACTAAGTTTATGACAATTTTTCACAGCAACAGTAGAAAATGAATACAGATTTGAATAAAAACAAAAGTTTATTTCTTTACAATGCATCTGTTTGAAAGACAGCATAATAAAGCTGAAAGAGCACTGGGCCTGGGGTTTGAAATTGGCCTCTATACATTACTGTGTGTCTTTGGATAAGTTACTTAACCTCTCTGAGCCTCATTATTCCATCTCTCAAATAAAGATAGACATGATTATTTCAAGTATTGGCTGCAAAACTACGTAGTAGGCACTCAACAATTGTATCATTCTTTCCATTAAAAACACAATGCTCCTCCCCCTACCCCCAAACAGCTGATTATTTAAAGGCTCTAGCTTTTCTGTGCTTTGATTCAAGGTGTTCGCTTATATTCAGGCCACTGTCCATTTCTAACTATTTGACTTCTCTGCTGTTAGAGGTTGGGACTGACAACAGAGATACCATGGGCTTGCCAGAGATAGTATTTTGGTTTCTGTTACCATGACCCACTGATAATCTGGGCTCCACCCAGCCATGTTCCCCACTCCTGCTTGTGAGTCAAAGACCCCCTGGCCGAGAGTCTGTCCTCTGCCCAAGGTCACGCTTTCATCCGCCCGCCAGTTCACCATCACCTCACCCTATTCTGGAATGCTCGAGAAGGAAGGTCAGAACGTCCACATGCCCACTGCAAATACCACTGTTACTATCCCTTCCACCGACTGCAACCATGGCTGCCACCTGTGGGCTGCCCACACTGCACCAGAGGCTGCAGAAGACTGGGGAGGTCTTTTGGCTCTCCAGGCCTTTTCCTGGGAGGGTGTTTCGGTAAGAAGAAAAATGCAGCCTCTGTTACAAAATGACATACTGGAATTCTGCAATAAAAGGTGGTCAGTGGTCAATACTAGCAAACAAGAGAGTCTGCCTTGTAGGTGTTTCACTCATAGACAAGAGAAAGCCCCCCACTGCCTCCTTCCCCCGCTCCATGCCTGTCCCGACCTCTAGCTACAAAGGGGATTTGTGTGCGCTAAGAGTGTTCGTTCATTCCACCCTAAACACTGTCAAAGGAGAGCAAGAGGGACTCATGGAGCCAGAGTGTGAATTCTCGGTGGGCAGCGAGAGGGACAAAGAGGGGTGCGCCATGGGGGTGCTGGGTTGATGCCCAAGGGTCAGTGGCCAAGGGAAGCACTAGTCGGACCAGGATCTAAACCCCAGCCCAAGGCCCGTGCTTTTTCCAGACACTGCCCTCCCACTGCCGCTGGCCCTTGCTTCCCCTCCCCATGATGGCGCCCAGCGCCAAGAACATTTCCAGGGCGTCCTCCAACGGGCCTGAAGTCCTGGGTGGTCTAGAAACCTTGAAGCAAGCATTGAGTTTTATCCCAGAACAAATGGAGACCTGGAAGTGAAGGTCCTTCCCAAGCTAGAAACAGCTGAGCCCAGCTGAGGGGCAGGATAAGATCACCTCTTCGTGCAGCACCATCCTTCACCAGGAGGCCTGCCGACTGCAGGGTCTTGGAAGCAGGCCAGGGATGTTTGCAGAGAGCGGGCACCACTGGTCTGCACGAGTGTGGGGCAGGGGTGGCAAACGACGTGGGACAGCTGCTGAGGGAAGGTGGCCCTGGGCTAGAGGACTGCAGAAATGCCCCGGGAACTCGGGGCATAGCTGGAAATCAGGCCAGTATGCAAACACCGAGCCCGCCCTGCACACACATGGAGGATCACACGCTCGCAGAGCACCCAGTGTGAGGGGCAGGCCCTGTGCCGTGTGCTTTCCAAGGTGCCAAGACAGTCAGAGAGTTCTTCTGGGTCAAAAGACTTTCTGCCAGCAGTCTGCTGCAGGCCCGAAACCTCCTTGAGTTCAAGTCCAGTCTTGTCCTTTGTCTCACGGCCCTGAAGAGACCTACTTTGTGCTGCTCTTCCCAGGTTCATGTCTGCTTCTGAACCATCTGTGTACATAAGGATCATGGATCTCATAGGTCCAGAGAGAAGGATGCTTGCACCTTTACAAGTATCCTGGGTGATTTTTTTAGGGAGATTGTCCGAGACTAAACTTTGAAAGTGTTGCTTCTTTTCTAGGCTGCTGCCTCAAAGGCCTCCTTTTTTATTTTTTATTTTTATTAATGTTTATTTGTTTTTGAGAGAGAGAGTGTGTGTGAGTGGGGGAAAGACAGACACAGTGGGGGACAGAGGGTCTGAAGCAATCTCTGCCCTGACAGCAGGGAGCCCAATGCGGGGTCAAACCCATGGAACCATGAGATCATGACCTGAGCCGAAGTCGATACCTCAACCGACTGAGCCGCCCGGGTGCTCCAGAGCCCTCCTTTTTTAGACCAGCACTGGCATGTGGTGCTGGCTCCCTGCTCGCAGATCTCCAGGCTTCTGGCCTAACATGCAAGCGGGCCAGCTCCCAGCATCTTCATTTCAACACCCCAATGGTTCGGCCAGCATGTCCTGGTTCAGGTCGTGAGGCTCATGAGGCCCCTGAGAAAATCTGCCCTGTGTTCCACGGCAGAGCTGTGTATCCTGGCAGTCTGCCTGCAGGAGGACCCTTCTCTGAAATCTGTCTTGCCTGATGGATTCTGCCTTTTTGCTTTATGGACCCCCAGCTCCCCTTCCTCCCTCACTTGACCTGAGTCTTTCTTTTCTAGGCTGGGTTTTTTCCTGAGCCCACCCCGAACCCCTTCTGATCCAGCCTTGACCCCAAAGAACTTCATCTGAGCACAATCCTTGCCCACCAAGGCTCCATGGCAGAGGAGAGAGCCCTGAAGGCCTCCAGAAGTTCTCAGGCGTCACCAAAATATGTGGTCTGGCAGGAACGAAAAACAGAGCAAATAAGTGCTTTTCGGAGTTTGCAAAGGAAGTAGGCCAGGTGGCAGGAAAACACGGACAGGTAATTGAGGAAATCTGACACGGGGGCCTGAAGTAGCCTCCTAGAAGGAGAGCATTCCTCTAAAGCTTCTGGTCTCCTTACAGTAAGTTATATATGAATTGTGCGTTCTCCTCCCTCAGAGAGCTGTGTTGGTCCACATGAACTTTCTTGCTTCCTGTAACCTCCTTTCTCTCTACCTCTTTACCTCCCAAGTTTGTTCCGGAGCTGTGCAGAGAAAGGCTCACGTCCTGCCCTGGGACCTTGCCTCTCTCCTCCATACAACCAAATGCGTCTCGCCCCATTCTCCTGTGCGTCTCTGAGAAATGGGTCAGACAATCTGTATTAAGTTGGAGTGCCAAATCCTAACTTTTATAATCGAGCTATGCAGTAGACACAGACAGATTAATCATGAGAAGAACCGCCAAAGAGACATGGACGGATGCAGTGGGACGCGAGGGCGAGGCTTCCACTGCTGAGGAGCACAGAGCAAGGTAAGCACAGGCCAGAACTGACCACCCCCACCCCCACCAGAGAGAATCATCTTACTCATCCCCATTTTATAGACAGGGAAACGAGGTCCAGAGACAAGCGATCTGCCCTGAGATAGCGGCTGATAGTCTAAAGTCAAGATGACCCCAACCTCGTCCTGTGCCCCAGGTCTGTGCTCCGTCCACTGCACCATGCCGTTCACAGCCATGGGCACCTCTCCGTTCGGTACCTCGTTTCCAATTCATCATGAGGCTTCAAGGGCTTCTGTGATAGGCACAAAAGTGCAGTGCTGTGACCTGCAATAAATCACCGCAGCTAATGGTCTCCTTGCTCCCCGTGACCAACTGCGGACAGCCCCACTCTCACTCGCACATGCAGCACGATAGCTGAGGCCACTGCCTGCCTTGAGGGCAGTGTGGGAACCAGGAGAAAGGAGGCAGCCACTGGGGACACTGGGGTGGCGCTCCTTTCCCTCCCCCCACGCCTCCTCCATACCTTCCTGCCTTCGTCCCTCCCACCTCATCCTGCCTCTGTCCCTCCTCTTTCTTTCCTCCTTCCTTCTGGCATCATGCAAACAAGGCGCTATAAACTAACAGTTGCCACGTTAAGTCCCAATTCTACCACCTCCCCCCAATAGGGTCTTCAGAACTCTAAGGTTCTGAAGGTCTTGTGCGGCACGGAGCACTCAGGGGGCGGCCTTGCGCATTCTCTCCTGTCCACGCAGGGGACTTGCAAAGATGCCCTTGGCCCCGTCCCCAAGTGCTCCAGGTTGGACAGCTCTCTGCTGCTTCTGGGCCAGGCTTCTGCCTTGGGAATCCCTTGCCAGCTGCCTCGGGTCACAGCTCCGGTGACAACCTCTCCCTCCCGTGGATCTTGCTGCCTCCCTGGTGTGCTGCCAGATCTTCACTGCTCTGGAGCCTACAGGCTCTCTCCACTCCCCGGCCCCGGAGAATCCCGTCCTGGTCTGGCAACTACGCCAAGTCCTTTAATTGCTTCTCCTAGACATTTTGCCCATACTTGAGATGCCCCTTCTCCTCAAGACACAGGCCTAAGCTATTTACCTCTCTGGACCTCCGTTTCCTCTTCTAGAACAGTATCTCCTCAGAGGGTCACTGCAGATTAAATGAGTTAGTATATAAGGGATTTAGAACACTGGCTGCCACATAGAAAACATCATATAAGCAATTACCATTATTATCAACGATATGCTGCAGCTGCCTCCCCACCAAAAGTACATTTTGACAAGAAGGAAGAACATGATCTCAGCATGAAGAAAATCCTTTAAATTCATAAACTCAGCTTTCTGGACCTCAGTCTATTTTCCTTATTCTTCTGGACCCAGTGAAAATACCACTGGGCAATACCAATTTAAGAGTCCATGTTTGGGGGCTATGGATTCAGTGACCTCCAGGTCTTTCTTTGCCTTGGTATGTGTGATTCCTGGTGCATAAACTGAGCCAGCCCCTTAGTAGGTGCTCAATATAGATTTGTGGAAGGTATGACTTAAGTATATGCAGCCACCTGTTATCAGCACTACCTTTCAAGATAGAAATCTCATCTGTACAAACACAGAAGCAGAACACCCTTACAACAGCGCCCCCCCCCAAAAAAAAATACACGGAGGAAAAATCAATCAAAACACATGAGGACAGAGTATAGTCCACACTGCCCTGCTCTGACGGACCTTTGGAAGCCACATTCTCTCTAGCGCCTACACTTTCCCCACCATTAACAATAACCCTCCCATCGCTAGGGTACTCAGCAGCTAATATGATGCTTTCACGTTCATCGCATCATTTGTTCATTAAGGAGCACTCACTGTGTACCTGGCACTGTATGCAGTTCTGGGAAACAGAGCGGGAAAGACACAGCAGTGCCCAGATCTGTGCCCCCCCCCCAACCCACTAAACTGTAAGCCCCAACAAGAGTTGGGGCTGCATCTGTTTATCTCCGGATGCCCAGCACTGGCACCGGAGTGTTTTGTGATCAGAGAATGGAAAGAACGGACGCCAGGGCTGCTGACTTCTCAGCCCAGATAAGGAATGTGGCTGTTCAAGCTCAGGGCTATAAAGATATTTGATCAGGGAGTGCCTGGGTGGCTCAGTCAGTGGAGTGTCCGACTTTGGCTCAGGTCATGATCTCATGGTTTGTGAGTTCAAGCCCCACATCAGGCTCTGTGCTGCCAGCTCGGAGCCTGGAGCCTGCTTCGGATTCTGTGTCTCCTTTCTAGCTCTGCCCCTCCTCCACTCGTGCTCTGTCTCTGTCTCTCAAAAAAAAAAAAAAAAAAAAAAAAAAAGATATTTGATCAAATAAGCCCTGAGTGCAGGGATACCTATAAAACTTGGGGGCCCAGTGCAAAATAGAAATATAGGGCCTCTTGTTCAAAACAGAGGAAGAAAGTGTCCTTAGAGGAACTAAAATAGAAAGCTTTTTCCTCTCTGTCCTGGCATCTCTTTCAATTAGTCATGGTGTTTTCTTATTTGCTATTCAGTATCATTCTAAGGAAAACATATTGAAACTTTATATTATTAGCATGAATTTCACTACTCATCTTTGTATTGTGCAATGCTGATTTTAAACACAAATATTAACACATTTAACTCATGAAGAATCACTGAAAATATACAATTCAAATTTGGTAGCTGGTATCTCATTCTTGTCAGAATACTGGAAACAGCACAAAACTAAGCCGATTATTTTAAGGTTTTTTTATAGTTTTTATTTGTTTACTTGAAAGAGATAGAGACCTTGGGCGGGGGGAGGCAGAAACGGAGAAAGGGAGAGAGGGAGAGAGGGAGAGAGGGAGGGAGGGAGGGAGGGAGAGAGTCTCAAGCAGTCCCTGAGCTGCCAGTGCAGAGCCTCACACGGGGCTCAAAATCATGAAACTTGTGAGATCATGACCTGAGCCAAAACTGAGAGTGGATGCTCAACCAACTGAGCCACCCAAGTGCCCCTGAATCGACTATTTTTATTTGACTTCTTGATACACACAGACTATACCAACACTCTACGTCTGGCTCACTGATGACGACGAGGGACATAAAGGAAGGAACTCGGGGACAACCTATCTTCGCCTTTTGTTCTATGCCATTGCTCCCGGCATGAGTGGCTAATGAACACCAGGAAGTGACACAAGAATGGATATGACAGATAGGATTCCTCCGTGGTTCATGCTTCTAGAACGCCACTGCCTTCTTTCTGCATTCAGTGTAAGTTCTAGCTCGACAGGAAGCATGGCTTCTGGGGGCCATCGGCACCTCTACTTACTTAGGTTTAGACACAACATGCCTACCTTCTACCCTCTGAGGCATGCTGGCCCCCTACATGTCACATCCATCAGACTTCAGAGATCACGGGCACCAAGAACACTACCTGTGAACATAAAGCACTGTGGACACGCACACCATGCATGCTTCGTGGTCCCATTAGATCCACTTTCAAAGCATAGGTGCAAGGACAAAACTACTAAGAATTTCAAGACTGGAGCCTCAGAGCATGAAACCCATCATGCGGCCCTTCTAAGCACGGACTTTATGCAACTGCATGAGTCACACGCCCATGGATTCAGTGCTGCCTGGACAGGACCAAGGGTTCACAGCCAAGGGAACAGTCCCTGAAGCCTGAGTGGGGCCCTGGATGGAGCCTGAGCAGCTCCCAAATTGCCCAGAGCACCACAGACCCAGGGGGGGTTAGCCAGTTAGGCCTGAATAAAGAGGGGATGCCGGTTCCTTAGAGGGGCCTCGTTAGCAAGGACAGAAAGCCCGGGTCCTACAGAGAGAATGGCAGGGGAGGCGCTGTCTCCCCAGGAAACTCGGAGATGACTCTGGGGTGAGAAGCAAGAGAAAGCTATGCAATCCTGCTAAGCCCAGCCTCAAAGTAACCTCCTTGAACCCGGAGAGGGGAAAACGGCCAAGACAACACTCCCACGCTCAGCAGGCCTCAGAGCGCAGGCAACCGCAGTCCTGGCCAGAGCCTCACCTCCATGCTGGTGACAGATGTCAGAAGGACAGCAGCTGGAGGGCGCTGGCGAGAGGCGGGACCAGCCGTCTGGCACCGGCAACACAGGCAGGTGGGTTACAGCCGGTCCACGTCCCACTCCCGGCCCTTATCCAAGCACTGCCACATGGAGACGTGGAATCCCACCTTTCGCCAACAGCAGACAAGATGGCTGAAATTCGCCTTCTAACACAAACTCGTCTTCGCCTGTGGCAGAACCTTTGGCCCTCTCTCTGGTAGGCCACCCAGCTGTGAAAACCCTTCCCACTCCAGGCAAGTGTCCATGCCACCTCATGGCTGAGTGTCCTTGGCTAATTACTGTTATGGGCTTCAGTTTCCCCACCTGAAAATAGGGGCAATCATACCTGCTCCACAGGGGCGTGATGGAGGACAGATGAGGAAACACACGCACAGAGAGAAGAAAGAGGGATGGAAGGAGGCAGAGTTTTCCTCCCACCTCCCGCCACTCTGCTTACTCTGCCCTCCCTGCCCAGGATGCATTCCCCATTCCCCAAACCCGAGGACCTCACGCAAGCCTTACGCCATCCATGGGACTTCTACCTCCAGCTCTCACCAATGTCCCCTCCAGACATTTCAGAAGCATGTCTTTCTATTCCACACACTGGAGCAACTGGGTACATTCGGCTTGCTGGTGTTCCTGGAAAGGGAATAAATAGCACTGGGAGAATTTCTAAGCTCATGGTATTTAATAGGCGCATCCTCAGCACAAAGCCTGACATGCCAGAGACACACAGTAGATTGAACTATGATGATGCCAGCCTCAAACTCTTCAACACTTTCCCTTTGCCAGAAGAGAGGGAGGGGGGAAGGAAGGAAGGAAGGAAGGAAGGAAGGAAGGAAGGAAGGAAGGAAGGGAGGGAGGGAGGGAGGGAGGGGGGGAGGGGGGAGGAAGGGAGGAGGAGGGAGGGAGGGAGGGAGAAAACAAGAATCTAAACTCCTGCACGGTGGTCTCTTCTAGTTCTCTAATCTCACCCCCTGCCATTCTCCCCTTCCACTCACTCTCCCACCCTCTAGGCTGTTTTCTAAATTTCCCCTTAAAAATGTCCCTCTCTTTTTTTTTTTTTTTTCAACGTTTATTTATTTTGGGGACAGAGAGAGACAGCATGAACGGGCGAGGGGCAGAGAGAGAGGGAGACACAGAATCGGAAACAGGCTCCAGGTTCTGAGCCATCAGCCCAGAGCCCAACGCGGGGCTTGAACTCACGGACCGCGAGATCGAGACCTGGCTGAAGTCGGATGCTAACGGACTGCGCCACCCAGGCGCCCCAAAAATGTCCCTCTCTTTTCCACAGTAGGGCTTTGCATATGCTGTTCCCTCTGTCTGGAAGGGCCTTCCCCACGTTCGGCACTGCCATCTCTTTCTCGTGTCTGAGATCTCGGCTTGCTGGTGGTGTTCCTTCCTCACCTAGTCTGAGGCCGTCTTCCACATCACCCCAGTGGAAGAAACAATACCTTTGTTGCCCATCTCTGGGTACCAGCATCTAGCACATCTAACAACCCACAGTTGGTAATTAATAGGGACTTGTTAATGAACTAATGCATGGATGATAAATGAAGTAAATATTTTTTTCTTCCCCCCTACACATGCCATTCTTTTCTGGGTGTTTTGCAAATGCAAATCGTATCTCCCATTAGAATGCAGGCTGGGTAAGAGTTATAGATTGCTTTTGTTTCTTGCCCACCATGCAGTGCAGTGCAGCGCTGTGCACAACACGTAAAAAATGTTTGATGAATGAACGAATAAATCACTGCATAAATGAGCAGTCGGGCACTCACCCAAACCGGGCTGGACTGAACTGAATGAAGCAGACCTGCATGCGTAAAGGAAGTGCCACATCCTTGCGACAGCGAACATGTGTTCTGCATTTGTCAGTGGGGCTTTCTTGTGCTCCGCTCCCTCACAGGGCCGTCACCCATCAGCCTGCTAATGGGATCATAAAGGAAAGGGAATCTGGGTCCTGGGCTTTCTCAGAGTCATCAGCTCAAAGCCCCTTTAATGTGAGTTCCTGACTCAATTGGGTGTGGAGAGAAGAGAAAAGGTGATGAATGGCCCAAATACAAGGAAACTCAGATACCTGACTTTGTTCTTATCTCGGCAAGAATGCGGCAGCCTGAAAGAGTCGGCAGCGGGCACCCTGAGTCATGATGAACTAAGAAACTCAAGAATGTCCCTTGATAAATGTTTGCTGGATAAATGAATGAATGCTTCTGTTGCTTATTACCTTTTAAGTGAATGGGGTCAAAGGTTGGTATTAACCCAAGGCTCATGGGGTAAAATATTCTTTGTGACCTGGCAGGAATTATTACCAAGGGCAGACTGGGCCAGCCGGTTCACATGGCTAATGAAGACAGGGTCACAGGTTTGAGGCTCCCTGGAGACTAGTTATCTATAGGCAGAGGAAAAATCTGCTTCGCAGCCATACTTAACGTTAACGCTGGGCAACAATCTTGCAAATTCATGCATTTGTCCGGGAAGGGAGGGTATCTATGGATGACTGCGGTGAAACCCTTCAGCAGAGGAAAGCAACGGGAATCTTGTTTACATGTACACAGGGCAATGACAGCTAACATCTACTGAGTGCCTCTATGCCAGGCGCTGTGCAGGGTAAAATCCCCCCACCTCCCAAATGTGAAAAGCGAACTGTAAAGAGGTGTACAAGGCACTTTCACACCTGCTCTGTTTCAGGTCACCGTGTGGAAGCCAAGGCAGCCCCAGCCCCACGAGGTAAATTTCATCCTCTTCCTTCCGCAGACGAGGAAAACAAGGGGGGAAAGAGATGTGCTCACTTGCCCCCAAGATCACCCAGCTGGGAAGTGGCAGAACCTGATCCCAGATGCAAGCAGTTGCCAAAGCCAAGTCGGTTCTCTTAACCGAGATACCAGAGACACTGCTTTTTTGTTTTTCTTGACAAGCAGATGAGTAACGCGGTCTTTACAGATGAAAAGTGACCAGTTCAAAATCGATGAAAGCAAGGCATTTGACTGTTGCAAAGAACTGCCATCCAAGGCATCGCCCAGGTAATCTCCTGGATTCCAAGGCTGAGGAAGACGACAGGCAGAGGAAGAGCCGGGCCTTAGGCCACAGGGCCTCTTTTGCAAGTCGCAGCTTTACCAAGTAGTGTGCCTTGCTGGGCAAGTGGCAGCTCATCTCCAACCTGGGCAGGCACTGTTCTAAATGCTGTTGATGCAGAACAAACATGTAAGATGGGCATAATCAGTCCTTCCCCGTGGATGAGAAAATGGAGCCACAAAATGGCTCAGCAGCGTGGGCCCGGGGCCCAACCAGGAAATGACAGAGTTGGGACTCCTGTCCAGGTGGTCCAGCTGTAATACCTGTGCTCTGAGTACAGGAATAATAATAATAATAATAATAATAATAATAATAATAATAATACCACCTACCTCACAGACTCTGGGGATCTGATGCATGTAAAGTGCATAGCAAAGTGGCCTGTGGTATTTATTCACTACATGACACATTTTATCTTTAAATTTCCCACCTCAGCAGATTCATTCTCATGTCTTAGCAGGTGCTCAGGAACACCCCAATTAGCTATAGCTGGATGGTCCAGAGGTCCAGGATTTGAAGCCAAACATTTTGCGCATGGGCTGAGCTACATGTCCTAGTAAGGCATCCAGCCCAGCAGGCTGACTCCAGTGGGGGGCACCGGCACTAATGATGGTGACCACCGGCCATGGAAGACAGAACACAGCAATGAGACACAAGGACCATTCTGTACTGTGAAGTTCTGGGAGAACCGTCTTCAGCCAGCAAGACCTGACTCTTGGGCTGGAGCTCAGAGACAAGGCCACAGGCCCCCACGAGAAGACCTTACTAGGGCAAGGCAGGACTCAGAAGTATCTGCATCAGGAAAGCAAGGACTTGGTGAAGAGAATAAAAGAGGGCTCGGTGGCAGGGGTCAGGATAGATTCACCCCGGTTACTGGGCAAAAATAGGTGATAAGAAGAAGAGCCCAAATGGGACCTGAAGTTTAGCTTCATGCACCTCATCCAGGCGTTCTTGAAGCTCTCCTGCCTTGAGATAGCAGCGGTCCTGAGAGCTTGGCACAGGGAAGCCTGGAGGAGGCTGAGAGGACCCGGCTGGCAGAAGATGCCCACCAAGGCTGGCCACCAGGCAGGGCCCAATACACTCAGACTGCAGCCAGATGGGCACTCATCGGGAGATCAGGGTGAGGGGTTCTTGCATTCAGTAAAGAGTCAGGTCAGAGGACCCTGAACACACTTTCCACACTGCTTCCCATGATTCCAACAGGCTCAGTCCCTTGTCCTCCCCCATCTCCCCGCCAGCATCATGCAGCATCTTTGAGCTAAACAGGCAAATTAGGACTTGCGTACATACATGATACATGCATGATACCACTTTAGACCCAAACATGGTGACAGCACAATTCTCCAAAATCTGAACCCAACAGAGATGTCTCCAAGAACAATCGCCCTATAAAGTCAACACTCATCCTGAGATCTACGATTCCACAGTGGTGCATCTGTTCTCGTAGGTGAAGTGGGGAGGCAGGAGCCCCAAGAGTGGCGCCAAGTCTCTCGAGGAGCAGGGATGGGATGGTCCCAGCCATCAATGGAGCTTTGTGGCCTCGGTGGAAAGAGAGGAACACCCTGTCTCAGGAATGCAACCTCAGAGCGCAGAAGACAACCACTCTTTACCATTATGAAACCCCAAACACTCTGGGTGTGGTGGGGGTTTTAAAAGCATATTCTGCTACCACTGAGAAGCCTTGGAAATGTGGAGAGTGCACCACCCAAGCCATTAAATGCCCAGACAGCTCGGGACAGAGGCAAGAACAAGGAGCCAATGAGTTTGGGTCAGAGTGTCTCAAAGAAATAAACATGCGGTGAAGGTATTTCCATAGCCAGTAAATACTGTCTTTCAGGGGGTTCAGAAGGAGACCAAACAGCCTGCCCCGACTATCCCCCGATAAAAGAGTGACACTGTGTATCTAAGGAGCGAGCAGCCAGGCACAGAAGCCAGATTTGCCAGCCACCCTTTAATTTATAGGCCGTAAATGATGGAGCCCATGATCTATTGCCCCTGACTCAGGGGGGATTTATTCTGGCTAAGAGCATACACAGAGGCCACTGATATAAGTGACGGCCTTGGGTGGAAGAAGGTCGGGCTCTCACTAAACGCTAAGTAAAGATGTTCGGAACAGACCGTTACACTGCTAAGGGATGGTTCCGAACACATCACAGGAAGCAGCTGACACTACCCATCCCAGCTGAGGTCGGGCTGAAGGGGAGGAAACCTGGGATGCTGCAACAAGGAGGCAGTCGGCAGCAGCTGGCGGCTGGCCTTGATCTGCAACAGTGTCTCCGCTGCGCATCCTTTCCTGTTGCGCTCTTACCCAGCTTTGGCCCCGTCCAAACCTGCTCTCGGGTAAAGGCTGGCTCCAGTCCTTCACATGAGCTGCTAGTATTGAAGCACCTTGCGGGCCTAGACCCCATCTGTTCCATGATCGCTGTGACATGAGATGGTTCAGCACCTGCCATGGAACAGACGCTAACTCTTTATTCAACAAATAGAAACGATCTGTTTCTTTCCATCCATCCATCCATCCATCCATCCACCATCTATTCATCCAGTCTTTCCCAAAGGACATGTCCAGGACATATCTTGTGCCTGGCCATAAAGAGAGTATCTAATAATGTTTTACTGCACATATATACATTTTATCATTGTCATCTGATTATGGCAAGTGATGCTGATTTTCCATCTGCGATAGTGATACAAAAATTTTGTGTTCAGATT